CTGATGTAGGTAGACTTGATAGCGAATGAACTATTTCGGAACTGTTCAAAGCTTTGCGGTTTCCATTGTAAATCAAAAGTGAAAAACGTTCATTAGGTGACCAGAATAAGTTGACATGAAGTGTCATCTATCCCGCGCCTTCCGTTCTACTTTCAAATTACTTTTTGCTTTATATCTCCTGAAGTAAAAAAGATACCAAAATAACATTTTCAGAAGTTGATAGATCTTTCTTTTTTATTATTAGATATCAATTTTTTACGAAATTGAAAAAAAAAATTTTTTTTCCTTCTGATACCTTAAGTGGTGATTTAGAACCTTGTTACATTAGTGTTAAAAGAACAGCTCTGCAAATGACCCTGGACTAGAAATAAAATATATATTGAACTGTGAATGATCCCGTATTACAAATAATCCTAACGTTTCATAAACTGAAATGGAAAGTTGGTGTATAGTGGAATGTGTGGTTCGCTGTGGCAGAAAATGTGCGTGGTTCCCGCTGTTGCGGTAGTTCTTACATGAAATAAGCGTCGGGACAAGAATAAGAAATCAAGCTGCTAATAAACCTCGACAAAGAGGCTTAGACAAATTCTTTCTCAGGATCTACAATTCTACATTTCTTCTTTCCCTTCTCAACAATGTATGGGTTGTAACTCACACCCATGTTCTAAACGTTCATACTTTACACTGCAAGCTTTCCCTGTTGGAAATACAAGCTGTTCATTTTTATTGTTTGTTTTTTGGTTTCTCTAACTTCTGTATTCATTCACTTTTTTAGTAAAAAGAAATACAGGCCATTCCGGTCCTTTCCGGCTTTTCAACGTGATCATTTGCAGTCCTGTAAGCATCATTCTGTGTAAATTGACGAAGGAAGGGAACTAGACTAACAAGAGTGATCCGATATCAAGGAGACTACTATGCAGATTAAGTGCCAACTAAGAGAGCTCACTTCGATCGAAAAGCTAAGGAATCACCTACTTTCTGTGGTGCTTAAGAATGCAAGTGAAGAAGTGGAAACCGGTAATATCGGTTAGTATCAGCTAGAGATCAGAGATCATCACCACTTTTACGCAGTGAAAAAAAATAGTTAAGACAAAAGTGAAAACAGAAAACATTACAGAAAAGTTATTTCCTACAGGGATACAATTTACAGTTTATGGGCAAAATGCTATTTTGCAATTGACAGGGTAGAATAACATCTGACCAACAGACAAGAGCGGTTACCAGTGATATTCTTTAACTGATTTCCGAGTCTAACCTTATCTCAATACAGGTTTATGTCCTTCAATTGTCCTGTTTTTTTCCAGGACAATTTATTCATCCAATTTGATCCGAGTCCACGACCGAGTTTGGTTTACAAGACGATTTTTGAGCAATTTCGTCCGTTGATTCTCGAGTGAAGCTGCATGAAGTAGGACTATCGTCTCAGTTCAAGTTTGATCGTTCAATCGGATACGATTGATGAAAACTTGTTGGATAATTTCTATAAACTAATTCATAGTGTCTGGTTGTATAGTTTTAACCAGTTTGACCAACGTAACCCGTTGTACCATTTTAAGGAGTTGGACCATATAGTTTAGTAATATTATTTTAAATGATTCTACCATTTTGACCAGTTGGACCATTTTAATCTGTTTACACCATTTCTACTAGTTGGACCAGTTTATCTAGCGAGACCATTTTATTCGGTTGGACCATAAAAACCAGTCAGACCATTTTAAGCGGTTGCGTCACTTTAACCACTTGGGCTTTTTTTTTTAGTTATACAAATTTAATCCATTAGGTTATTTCAACCATTTACAAAGTGGATCTAGGTGGGCTATTTTTACCAGTTGGATCATTTTTATCCAGTTAGGCCATTTAACCAGTTGGATCATTTTTATCCAGTTAGGCCATTTAACCAGTTGGATCATTTTATTTGGTTAGACCATTTTAAGCAGCCGAACCATTTTATCCAGTTACCCCCACTTTAACCGATTGGATATTTTCATCAAGTTGGACAATCTTACCCAGTTAAATCATTTTGAGCAGTTTGACCATTTTATCTAGGTAGACCATTTTATCCATTGCTCCATTTAAAACAGATTGACCCTTTTACACAGGTGGATCTTTTTTTAACCACTCTGGCTATTTTAAAAGGTGGACCGGTTTATCTACTGAGACCATTTGAAGCAGTTGGAACATTTCAGCGAGTGGTATCGTTTAACCACTTGAATCATTTTGTCTAATTAACCATTTTAACCGATTGGATCATCGTAACCAGTTGCACTATTTTCTTTAGTCAAACCATTTTCACTTGTTGAAGCAATTTAGTAGGCTTAGCCATTTTTTGCTTAAAAGCAGCTGGATTGTTCAACCAGTTGAACTAATTTCTGGAGCTAGACTATTTTAATTGATTGTTTTGCTTTGTTTGTTTGTTTGTCTTTTAGTTTGATCACTTTAAGCGGTTGGATCATTTTAACCAATTGGACCATTTTCTCTAGTTTGACCATTTTTACCAGTTAAACAATTTTATGTAGTTAAAACATAACCATTTTAGCAAGTAAGACCGTTTTTGACCATTATTTTATCCAGTAAGTTTGGGGCATTTTAATCAGTTGGACTATGTTATCTAGTTACCCCACCTTATCCAATTGGACAATGTAATGGGGTTAGATCTTTTTTATCTACTTAGACCAGGTAAAGTGGATGGACCATTTTTTTTTAGGTAGACAATTTTAATGGGTTGAACCATTTAAAAATGTGGAGCATTTTGTCACTAGAAAATTTAGTGATTTTCGGTGTGTTTGTTTGGAGCACATTTGTTACTTTTTCAGTATTTCAGCCGTTCTCAATTCACTCTAGTTTTTTATATTGTAATGTTTTTGAAAAAGATAAAAGATGACAGTAAATTCTTTTAACTATCAACTTGTTCATATCGCTTTGTTTTCGCCGTCTTTGTGCACCCGGACATCGGTTCATATGTGATCTTATTCTGAGCGGACATTGTTGAGTAAACATTCCTTGTAGCGACCTTTTCTGGTTAATTACTTCCCAGGAAGTTGCCAGCGGAACATACGTCCGTAAATTAGTTCTTTTCATGCCATAACTTTTCTCGTTGCCACTTGTTCAAATTTAACACCAACATCGCATAGATAAGCAGAAATTTAAATTGACTTCTCACTTTTACTTGCTAAGATATCTGTTTGCAATTTTAAAGCTGTGAGTTCTTAGTTAGGGTCGATAACTTCAAAGAGATATTTTCCGCTTCTTTTGTGATACTATTCAAATATTGTAAATTTATAGAACAATAGAATCACGCGCTCGATAGCACCTAAGGATAGACCTTGTAAAGCTTTTTAGATTACATAGACGACTGTGTAGCGATTAAATCGACGATTGCGTGGCGATTACTAAGCTGAGTATGCTAGAGGTCATGTCGGTTCTTATTTATTTATTTATTT